CTTAGTCATTTAAATTTATATAGATATAAAAATACATTTCAAAGAACTACTGTTCAAGCTTATATAAATGCATATATTTATATAATATATCTGATTTAGGTATATTGTACATAGATGTATCCTATTTAATTGTGTAATTACGGTGTTTAATAAATAACAGAGTACAAATTTTATATTATAATATAATCTACTTTAGTAGGTTTTTCGTTTGACTTCTAACAGAATATATACCTCGTTATGTACAATTTTATAGCATCTCTTATATTTCAGAACACATTCATAATTTTGTTTAATTACCTATATTTTACAATCGTACTCATAGGCATTCAATTCACAAAGAAATTATTCCGTCATTTGTCGGTAAATACGACGCTTCGATTACTCATGTATTTCCTCAAAGGCTTGACACAGTGGGTTATATAGGCATATACGTTTTCCTGCTCTTAAATATTATAAAGGCGTTCGTCTGCATGAGATGTAGTACAATTGATTGTAGCGGCATCGAGTGGAAACATTCAAAATGAAATTGACTGTATTTTTCATATTCGTAGTACTGTGTTGCCAGATATATTTGATCTCGTGTGACAGTTCCCGCAGTAAATCCCCTGATAGCGGGACCGTAACATCTACAAGTACAACGCCTAAGCCTTGGTCAAAAAAAATTAAAAGTGGTTTGGTGCGTATTAACCCGTACATTATATTATGTCATGAATTAAACAATTATGCTTAGAAAACTTTTAAAATTAACGTCATACATATTGCAATTACTCTTGCTTGTATTAACGGGAAAATAAGAAAAGCCCATGCTTAAATTCTATAGAGTATCTTCGAGATACCATATCATCCAAATAAAGTAATTGTAATTGAGATGGAAGAAAATTTGTTGAATTTATTGACTATTAATACATAGATATTATTGTATTTTATTTTGTTTTAGGATAACTTCTTCAGAGGCGCAGCTGTTGTCGGAATAGTGCAAGGTGCGGTGCAAAACAGTCGCTCCCACAAAAATAAATCGCCAATCTCTAAACACTAGAATAATATTACACACTTTGCTAAGGGTAATAACAAATATATAATACGAGTAATGTTTTACTCACTTGCATTTTCATTTAATAGGAATATTATATATAACAGAAATAGTATGCAGGTATATAAAATGAAATTCATAGAAAACCAGAGCATTTCAAATTAAAAGAACTATCTAGAAAATATATTCTAAAATTTATAAGACTCATTCGCATAAAATAAAATTGCTTCAAATTTGTAACCATTGTACCTCTGAGAACGTAGACATACAACATATAGTAATAAAATGTTCAGAATTTTCTTGGCTGAGACTTTATTAGTAGATGGCTTAACAAATTTATATCATTAGGAACAAGTTACCTTGCTTCTTGCTATCTGTCTTGCAAACTGAAACTTATCCGGTTACATATGACTTCATTGTCAACTTACCTACTCTAAATATGAGTAAATGATTCCCCTATATTAATGTACCTACATAACAATCTCAATTGAATACTCATGTAAATACCAACAGATAAACTCATTGCACTGACTGATCCATACCAACAGATAAACTTATTGCTATACGAATACTAAAATCCGTATTACTACGTAGTCTAGGTACACATCACTTTAGTAGTTTATAATTGGAATACTGCTAGTATCAGAAATACAATTACGAGATAATTATTAGATGTTGCATATTTATTGAAACAAAATATAAAAAATACGAATTGAAAATTAAATTTGAGACATATTTTTCATATTATAGTTATGGGATAGTGGTAGATTATCTCTTTTGAGGAAATGTTATACGTTCATTTCTTTAGACCTTTAAGCTGAATTATTTTTCACTTCTCTTTGATACTTACTTACTTTTTAGAAATCATAATTTTTAACACTCAAATATTTTTATGTACGTATACGTATAATATTGATAAGTTTTATATGATTGTTGCTAATGCTATTGCCTGCTAATTGAAAAAGACATTAGCTCAAAGAGTTGGCATTTGGCCCAAACAGAAAAATGAAGAAGTATCCTTAATTGCCAGGAAAATTTATGCATGATATAATGGATAAGAAATCTTTATGAAAATCGCAAATGCAATGATAGACAAAATATATATATATTATTATTTTCCAATAGAATAACGGATTAACAAAATCTGTTTTATAAAAAGAGAGAGAGTTGATTTCTTTATGATGAAATTCTGGAACCACTACCCATTATAGATTTTCATAGGTATTGAGTATTCAGAATGGCATATATTTAATTGCAATATATATACAAACTCATTACATTACAAAAAGGGTTGGGCAAAAGTTGGTTTATAGTTGACAAATACATAGATATATCACAATACAAGTACATTCATATTAGATTTGGATTATCGATATTGAAAATATAAATAACGTGAAGAGTAACTCTTACTTTAATGTTAAAATGCCAAAATTGATATGAATTTAATTAATTCTAGACTCCAATTCATGAATTTGGGCAATACACAAACAAAACATTAAATTGTGTCTTGTTATATGTATAAGACATGTCTATTAAGGCATGAACTCTATGTATTGTGGTTTTGAATGATGTTTCTTGAAGAGCAGCGTAATTCTATTTAGTTCACGTGTGACATACATATTTCATATAAAAGACGCCGGCGCTGTCAGTCGAAGGGAGTCTGGAGTCCAGCCAAGAAAGGAAGTGCGGTGACATGAATTGTGAGCTGACTTTTAACAAGTTAAAGGATAGGTATTTCACTACTATTTCATATTCATTTGCCAATGAATACTTTTATTTTCCTTTATCTATTTTTATAAAAGAAGGACGAATTCACCATTTTAATAAAAAATAATAATTGATATTGTACAAGAACTTAACAATCTTAAATACAATTTTAATCAAGAAACGTTTACATATTTTAAAATTCGTTGTATTAAAAAATAATGATAAAAGTCAGTATGTATAATACTGATTTTCAATTATTATTTTCAAGATTCAGCTATTATACATATATAAGATATTTGGACGTTCAGATAACCAGATGTTTTCTATTTCCAATATATACCCAAATTCATTGAACCACTTATGCTCGATAGCATATAAGGGATTAAATGAATTTGAACTAAATTTTTGTATAGAACGATAGCTTGGGACTAGATGGCGGTGTGTGAATTGACCTGGGTTATTATTATTATATCCTACTAAAATATTTTTTTACGAGGTAAGCTGTGATATGCTGGTAGTACGAAATATTCAATTGCCTTTATAATTGTATTTGCAATTATAAGATAATGAGTGGTTAATAGTTCTATATAATACTTATAATAAGTGTAAATAAACATTTCAGGATATTTAAAATAGAATGAGCAGTCAGAAAAAAATCCATAATCTGCCGTCAAGTGCAAAAAGGAGCCATGTTATTCGATATTCTAATATTAAATCAGTGCTCTTTGTGACCGAAATGGAATACTAATTCTAGTCGCCATACAAGATTGTAAGAAAAAATCTATGTATTTAGACAAAGTTATTTCTTATCATTTTCATTAGGATAGTCTATATTTTAAATATTGGCTTGGTACGGGACCATTTTTTGAGGTCCTTCTTTTTTTAAAATTCGTTGAAATTAAATGACGTAAAGGACAATTTTGTTCAAAATTAAATACTTAGAATAAATAACGTATTTATTTTGATAAGGGCTAACATCATGTTTATAAAAATGAAATATCATTACCATAAAAAAAGCAAAATAATCTTAGTTAGTCAATCTTACAAGATTATTATAGACGTATGTTGTCGCGGACTGTTTTCAGATCTTTTAAAGGAGAACAATTCCGCATGTACATGTTATTTGCGTATCTTTAATCATTACACAGCGCACGCAGCGGAAGCAGTCAAAATTCATATATTTGCCACATTTTTTAATACTGCTCCACTCTATTGAGCTTAGCGAGCCTGTACCACTCGGGGACAAACTTTTTTAATAGTGAAAGAATTTTTAAAATCAACAGAACCTGAGATTACTCTGAACTACAAGCATACAAAAAATGAAGACAATTTAGTCGAATAAAATAAAAGATAATGTTTACAAAATATATAAAAGAGTTACACAATTGATAAGCTTCGAAACAAAATGAACGTGACAAGCGTTACCACGTTTTGTGTTTGTATATTAAACAAATCCCTATTATCCCTACGATACTGGGTGTAATTGTATTACTGTCGCAACATTTTGTATTTCTCTGATTTACAATATCGTTGTACATGTGTGCTATTGCTATGATCGTTGTGTTATGAATATTTCACTTTTGTTTCTGCTCTTCTATAATATTATCTGTTAATGTCGTTTAAATGTCATACTGTAATAAAAATTGAAGAACTTGTTTAGTTCAAAACCTACACCTAAACCTCAACCCACATATTCGTGGATGTAATTGTGTGTTTACAAAGTATAATAGAAAACGTGTTTTTATCCCCCTTTTTTGTTGTTTATATATACCCCTGGTCGAGTTTGGTATGTTGGGACTTTCTATTGAGTAAACGACTTTCTTTCACTTATTTCATAATACTAGTTTTTTCATGAGCTACTATGAAGAAACCTCTCTTTGCGGACTTTATCCAGGCGTGTCACACTACCAACTCATCTCTGTATTTTCATATCATTCGTGCATACGAAGTTGTAATTCGTAGACTTGAAACTATATTTTTATTTAATAAATTTTGTATTTTTTAAAATGAAGAAAAATAAGGTAGAAGTTGACAAAGTTATATTTATACCGATTGCCAATTCTAACACGCTACACTGCAAGTCACGCAATGCTAATTCCGAAGCTAAATTGAAACAACACTTTTTATAACTTTATTTATTGACATTTCTTTTTAAATAATTTTATGTCCTCTAGTTTTTATACTAAATTTAAAAATGAGTAAATCAAAAATTAATACTGAAAGCAAATAATAATTAAATTAGAATACAATTATGAATGTCGCCCTATTGATTCACAACTGCATCTGTATTATGGGAATTGAGTAACTGCATTCGTTGTTCAGTTAGGACTTCCAGTTTTTTTATAACATTATTTAGCTCTTCTTCTAACTCCGTTTTTCCTCTGGAATAAAAGAATTATAATCAAATCCGTTGTAAAAAAATTGTATTTAGCGTGTAATAATTAGTCACATGCCCAAAGAATTAGACTTTTAATTTGCAGAGTATAAAACATAAAATGCAATATATGTATTTGTACATGCAAGTATATAAAAGTTAATCAAAATGACTTATGTAAAAGGAAAATCTGTCAAGCATTTCAGGGGTTTATTTGGCTTTTATTGTAAAGGTCAAAATCGGGGTTACAATACAGAAACTTTAAGACTAATATAGTTGAAGGATAAATAAACTGCTTTTGAACTCTATGTAAACTGTTAATTGCGGCTGTAATGCTGGAATTTGGCTTAAAGTAGTCAAGGTAATTCGTGTGGAAGGAGAATTAAGCGAGTTGCAAAATACCAACCCGTAACAACATTAATATTTTAAGGAGATTGCGAGGTTTTGTGAGTGAATGTGGAGAGAAATTCCCTTTTTTTATATTAATGGAGTGGCAAAGATGGCACACCATTGCAATACATGAACAGCTGCCACGCCAAGCCACAACCTGAGGTTGTAATATGATTGTAATTTAGATGTATGTTATTATGGCGCGATGGTTATCACGCGTTATAATAATAATGACATATTATTAATAAATAATAATACCCCTGGACAATTCACACAACGTTATCTAGTCCCAAGGAAGTAGAGCTTGTGCTATGGGTACTAGACAACTGATATAAATACATTGATATATTTTGTAAATACATTTTATTTTTATTTATAGCCTTTGTGCTGACAATCATCAGCTTGTCCCAAGACATAGGCTTCCTCCAAAAGACTCCGGGTTGTAAATACATACATAATATAAATGGAAATACCAGATCGATACAAACAATCATACTCATGAATACAAATTTTTGCACCGTGTGTCGTGTTTGCGACCATCGGAAGTAAAGCCGCGTGCTAAACCGCTAGTGTGTATGATGCGATGAGTTGCTACTAAATTGATTATTTTCCTGTAGTATCTAGGTTATTGAGTATACTGGTGAAATAATTGTACTACATTAGTTTATTTATTCGTGTGTAAATGGCTTTTGACAAACGCGAACACTTAACTCGTAGTCGTAATGCTGACTTACTTTACACTCAAGAAAGAAATCTATGTTGTGTGAAGATGGACACATTTGTTACTGCATCCTTCCATTTGGAAGAATGCCGAGTGTTGACATAAATATTACAAGTGTAGGTAGACTATATGTTTTCCTATGACCATACTGATGTAAATTATATATCATATTATTACGTGTAGTCGAAACAGATCTCTAGTACCTAAGAGATAATATAAATATTGTCTCTTTGTGATGGTTGAATATCCATCTAGTTACCTAAGATAGAAAGTATATTTTTCTGTAACAATACATTTTTCTTATGTATTTTTTAAAACTTATAAAAATAAAAACCTGCTTTGTTTATGGAGCGATTATTGACTACCTGAAAAATATGGCCTATATAAGGGTTTTAACGATTAATTAGGTATATATATGTAAATAGGTTTAGCCTTTTTAACATAAGTCAGGAATTCATAATAGATCATTTATAAAATATAATCGTTATGGATATTTGTACAGCGAATTTACAGAATGCTATTTTTTTTACACTTATTTTTACAGTGATTTTATCTTTATGGAGCTGCCATTGTTATTATTGTAAACTTGTAACACTATGGAACGTGGAGAAAAATAATTGTCGATAAAATTTCATAGTCCGGATTATATGCAATGCAATTTTTTATCAGTCACTGTTTGAAAAAAATGAAATACTGCGACCTAATACTATATATCTTACTTCATATAAAGTGCATATCTTGATTAGAGCAAATATGCTATGTGTGTTTCGTTGTAAGTATGAAATACAGCACTATATTTGTCCCATTCCTAATTTTATTGTTTTAGTATCTTACTAAAATCTTAATTAATATTTAAAACGACCGCCTCGGTACTTTAGCGGTTTAGCACATCGCCTTCGTCTGATAGTAGCTAGTTCGATTCCTCGAGTCGAGTATAATTGTTTGTATCGGTCTGGGTGTTTTCTATATAAATTGTGTAAAACACATGCTCTGCTTAACTTGACACTAGATGGATGAATGTCCTGAAACATTATTATAACATATCACTAATAATTGAATAGTGTTTACATTATTTCTAGTAGATTTTCTGGTACGTCAGGATGCAGGGCATCTAACTGATTTTTTAATTCTTCGACGACGCACTGACGATTTTTCATTTCATTTTGCAATTCCGCAATGGTCGCATTCACTTTCTTCATCTCATTCTCTATTTCTAATTCATTCTAAAAATTATAAGTAACGTTAAAAAAAGATTAAAGGTTACTTTTGTAATTAAAATAGTCTATTGTGTAAATCTTGTATCCCCTTAGTTTTAAAAATGGTAACAAGTATTGCAATATACATACAAAACAAACAGCACACATACATCACACATACATAACTCTATATGAACATGAAATAGACAGTCAGTTTATTTGCTATTTCAAATGATGTACGGAAACAATTAAAGATCATCATCGTCATCAACCTACTGAAGTGCGCCAAATGCCACTACCACTGGGCCAAAATTCAGCCTTTTAGGAAGAAAACTTTATTAATATTAGGGTTAAAAGTAATAACCGGAAGGTTTTATTACCTTTAACCTTAAGTATTTCATAACTACGTTGGGCGAAATAAAGATAGTCATACATACTAAATCCACTTACGTAGTAATTACAAGACGTTCTGAATCGATGTGCCTTAGCACGTAACGAGTCTTCATAGTTACAACTGAAAAATATAATAAGTACATATTAATTAATTTTTATTTGAACAAAACTATGGTATTGGAAGACGACGTATGAAAGTATAACACAATGTTGCTTATTATTACAATATTAAATATAATTGTACAATACATACATACAGTATTAAATATTGTTAAGGGTGAATGCTGTGCTTGTTACAGACTATGCTCTAAATACTATAAATGACGTAGTGCAGTAACTTGAAAGACTCATGCTCGTTATAAAGTTCAAATTTATGGTGGCATGGTGGGCAATATCAATATCCTCCCTCTAATATGGTTGACTGCAATTATGGCTTGCTCATCCGTCATATTCGTGAACGGGTGCTGTTTGTGAGGATTAGTTTGTCCGGGTTACGACCGCTGATTACTAATTTGAATTTAATGGATTTATACCTGAAATTGAACATGTACAAGCGAGTGAATGTGAGTTCTTCTTAGCTCGATAGTACTATAGCACGAACTAACGGTAGATTTGACATATTATAAGAATAGACCTATATGAATAAAGATATTTTAAAGTGATTTTGTTATGCAAGAATTGCACAAACACACACATTTACAGTGTATACGTCGATGTCCGAGTAAACAAAAGAATAATATGTAGCAATAACTCTGCAGACAGAGGGTAAAGTTGTATTCAGAATTACAAAAAAAGTAAGTACTTTTTTATTCCACTTGAAATGTAAACATGCTGGCTGCCCGCCAGATAAAAGTTTTAAGGGGGTCTTCCTATGTGATGGGTTGAAAAAATTGATTTTTTTTTTCATAAATTGCTCCCTTAACATGTCTAGAATACGGTAGTAAAGCGATTTTAGAAAATTCGAAGTCGTTTTAAAGATACAGCAGGTAAAAGAAAGAGCGGTTCGGAGCGGTGAGTTGGCAGTTAGAGACCGGGCCTATTGTGTACCGTCGGCTTTATACCTGGCCTCCCTTTTATTAATATATTTGTTTATACAAGTTTAGACACGTTTATACAGACTTAAACAGGAAAAGGAGCAGGTAAACTTACTGATAAAGTTATCCAAGAAATTACAAAATTCTACAGATTAGCAATCCGACGCCATCCAGATTCGCTTGAAGATATGAGAAAGGAAGTTTGGGCAACGTACTATCACAAATGTTCTTCTGATGAAAACCCTCAGCATCAATTTTGTCCAGAAGGCGAAGACAGTTGGTGTAAATGGCGTAAGGCTGAAGCTAATAATGAACTGGACCAATTTCATCACGATAAACCACCTCTAATTCCGCAAGTCCAAGAAGCTATCAAACCGGTTTTCGAAGATTTATCGAAAGACGTATTATTAATTCGTTGTTTAGGAGCAGAGACACAAAACAATAACGAATCTTTGAATTCTTTGATTTGGACTTTCGCTCCTAAACATCTTCATTCTGGTCCCAAAGTTGTTGAAATTGCTAGCTACTTAGCAGTTATTATCTTTAATGAATGTTTTCAAGGTATTTTAAAAGTTATGTCGATTATGGGATGCCCTGTTGGTCGTGAAGCCCAAGCGTATGTTGAGAAACGGGATGAAAAGCGAATCTTACGCTCTGAGCGGCGTAAGTGATGTCGTTAAACAAGCCAGGATTGACTCAAGAGCTGAACAATCTGCTTTAAAAGAGTTTCACGAGGAAGAGGAAGGAATACTCTATGGACCAGGCATCGCCGATTGAGAGTAAGTTGATATTTTAATAGTTTTTAACGGACTTGAAACTTTAAACGCGTTTTTCTCAAAACTGTGTTTTTCAAACTTTCCTCCATTGTCTCTCAGAAACGGCTGGACCGAATTACTTGAAATTTACAGGGCACACTCAATATATGTAAACGCATGGAATGAACTATTATCAATCGAAAATTTTCAAAACTTCGATTTTTTTATAGCAAAAAACAAAAAAAAAAACGCCTAATTTGCAACTTTTATTTCAAATGTCTATCAAAAATACAATTTTTTTTATATTCATTTGATTATAGGTCATTCCGTGCTTTTAAGCCTACAAATTAAAACGCCGTTTTTTTTTTTTTCAGATAAACGCCGTTTTTTCGAGGCGGGGGTGTTCAGAGCGCTGTAACTCTAGTTTGACTGAATATTTTTAGCTGAAATTTTATATTTATACTGTCCAAATATGTGTTAATAAATGATAAAAAACTTGAAGCTCTAAATATTTACTGGTCGTAGAAAAAAAATCCTAAAATATCCCTAAAAAACAGGCCGTCACATAGGAAGACCCCCTTAAACCTTCGTTTATGTAAACGGATGGGATCATATTCCCTTTTTTAACCAATAGATGCAGATGGAGATTTTGTCTATGGTTCTGTCTGCAGGTCTGTTTCTGTGACATTATAGAGTACTAAATAAAGGTATCGCAATTTCTGATATAAAGATTCTGATAAGAAGATGAATATGTATAACTACTAGAAATTGGAGGAAACATTATTAGATTATAGGTCAAGTTTTAGAAATAGAAAATGTACCTGTAAACCCATGGTGACCCCTTTTACCCCCAGAGGCGATCCACTAACAATCATTTATTGATTTTCTCTTGTTACTTATGATAATAATAAGTTACCTATTCGGTATTTATGATGATATACTTATAGTTATAAATTAAATGACTATCTATTTACTTCATATATTATTGAATACTATCAATATATTAAATAATATCCTCAATATTTAAAATATTCAAAGTATATAAAGTATATATCCACATTTGGCCTCATTATAAAATAAATATTTTCATGTATTTATAGGCGTAATTAATAAGTAAGTATAATAGCAATATTGGCACAGTAGTATGATGTCTTAAGGTGAAAGAAAAGCTAGAGTCTTTATAATTTATCATTTAGTACAACTATTCACAGTGAATTTTATCTAATTAATTTATTTTTTTATTCACGATTTGTAAAATGATATAAATAAGAGGTGAAATAGCAAACAACAGCATAGAGAAAAAAAAAGAGCACAGGCCAAAGGACCAAAAATTAGACATGTAGAAAAATAAAACGGATTATGGAAAAACGGATAAGTATTTAATATAATACCGATATTTATTTCATAATTACACATAATGTTGTATATTTATCGGTTATGCCAACAATAACAGTAGATTAATTAAGAATAGATTTTTGTTGTACAAAATGTCATATCTCTAATTCCATTTTATTCTGTACTAAAAATACTACGTGTTCTTATTTCAAAATTCTTGATAGTTCATTGAACTTATGGCGCCAACAATTAGAACTTTTTATTATAAGACACACTTTACATAACTGTGTCTTATAATAAAAACTTATTAAATGTATGTAATAAATGTACCTTAATTTAATATCTAGACTTTATTTTTCATATTTTGTAGATACCTAACTAAACAAATACCTGAGGCGTGTAATTTTGAAACGTAATTTAATGTAAACCGTCCTTTTATCTTTTCATAGAAAAAGTAACCTCCAATAATAAGATAAAATTTAATAAGCCATATCGCGAATAATATACCTAGTAGGGAAAGGTCGCCGATGTAAACGATTCATAAAAAAGTACTTGTTAAAATCTGAAATAGGTAAGGCAGCTATGTAATAAAATTATAGTAATAGCTTTTCTCATTTAGTCTTCTGTTTGAAGCCCCTTCAATTATGTTATAGTTTTGTGGTTGCAGAATGATAGCAGTTTACAAAAATCCTACGATGTGAAACAACCTTTCTCATTTTCGCAACATCCTGCTATACATAGTTTAAACCGATTATGATGATTATTTAACAATCAAAAAGATTTTTGTTACTGTTGAGTTGGTCCTAAAACAGTACTAAATAAAAATTACAATCACAGTCTATTTCGTTTCAATTTATACTTTTCAATGTCTATTGTACTAAGACTTGTATTGAAATTTATTTAATTAATTGGTACGATATGGCCACAAGGGCCTAATTACGTTAATGCTTAAGGGCCTAGTTACTTAATTACACGGTTAATCTTTAATGATACAGTATAAACAGCATATACAAGTAAAAAAGATACGTAATTTTCTTAAAACGTACATTTGCAATTCCATTTCTTGTTCTTCGCGTTTCAATAAATCAACGAGACCGCTGCGCTTTCCTCTCGCTACTTCCAGCTCTTTAGTTATGGCCTCACATTGCCTCTTTAGCTGCATACGCCGCGCTGTTAATTTCACTGTATAGAATAGAAATGAAAGTCGAGCAATCAAATATAATAAAATAAAAAAAAAAATTGACTGGCTATATTACGTTTTTTTTCGTAATTAATGACAAAGAACGACCGAAGACCAGGCAGACGCTGCACTTCGTTAAAAAATCTCAGGCAGCGGTTTAGGATGAGCGCCGTGGACAAAATAAAGATCGCAATAATAGGAAATGGCACAAACAGAATAACAAGAATGACAAAGAATCTGATTGTGAATTAACCGTCGCTATTTTAGACAACAAAGATGTCATGCGTCTTGTCCTGTAATTTCATTGAAGAAGATCAATCTATAACTTCGCCGGCTGAAGTAGTAGGCGGAGTAGGTAAAGGATGGTTTTAAAATAAATATATACTGTATGACAATTAAAGTGTACAGTAATCTTTCAAAACATAATAAGGTTCTCTGAGTAGTAAGCTCTTGACTATCATAAACTCAATACCTCATTATTAATTTATACAGTTTTCAACAATATTTCTTAACAATAAATGCTTTCCAATAATTTGATTGAAAAAAATTGCTGATCAATATTTTTTTCATGTAGCAGCTTATTTATTGTACCTACCAATATTTTGCAAATAAAGCATATCATTTCATTTTACTGCAAAATAAACTTTATTTCTGATGTTATGTTATAGATATTAAATTCACATTCCTGTTATCAGTAAAAAGATAAACTCACCATTTTCTTGATTAAGCCTTTCTCTTTCGGCATTTAAAGAGCGTGCTATTCGCAACGCAGTCATTGTGTCGCGATACTTTTGTTCATTTTCCGCATCTAAATTCGGCAGTGCAGAATTCTAGAAAATTCGGAATGTTATTAAAATTTTTAAATATACTTAATTGTTCTTAATAAATAATACTGATTTATTATTATTAAATTTGTCATAGGTAATTCCCACTTGTACAACTATATCATCTTCAATTTTTTCTAGATTAGATTTCAGTAAACATATTTCAATTTGTTGTTCCTCTGGAGAAAACATTATGAAAACAATTTGAAATTACTACTACAAAAAAGACAAGTTAAAAGTATATATTTCGTAATAGTAAATGATAAACAAAAATAAATAAGTTAGTCGACGTTATTTTGCAATAAAACCATTTGGCGGCAAAAAGTATTTTAAATCAATCAATATATAAGAGGCAAAGTTGCGGTAGACATACATCTATTTTTTTCATAAAGTAATTTCTTAAAAATGACTTTAGTCTACTAACCTTAAATAAATCTGGTCATTATAACTATATTATGTGTGTTGTTTATTACTAAATAAAAACTATACCTACTTCGATATTTATTTTCCAATTATTCTTATGTGATAAATTTCCACGTACATCCGTACTTACACTGACGATTAGTGTTGAGCGTCCAGATAACCGAAAGAATAAAATAACAAACAAAATCAATACCAGTAACCAGATTCATACGTTGACTGAACTCGTATTTCTTGCTTGAAAACAGCTAGGACTGAGCAAGTTACCACTATGTTTTTAGTCACTAGGTATACAATAAAATTATTTGTTTCACAATTTATGTGACGTTAATATTGTATACCTACTTATAGTTGTGCCAATTGTTCTATATTATTTATAACTATACGAAAGTGTATGTATAGTTAGTACCACGTATATAGTGCACTCGTGGGTGGCTAATAAAACGGTATTCTTACAAATCTATATCTTGGAATCATTACTTTCTCCATTTGACTGTAGGTATATTTATCGTACAAAATTTGTTATATTGATATCTTTGCCAGTTCTAAACCGATTTTGATGATTGATTATACCCGTATCGGTTATTCCTTTTTAAAAGTGAAAAAGTTTTATATGGAACAAAATCTTAAATATTCATGTGAGTAAGTAAGTAGGTTTGGGCGAAATATGACAACTTTATTGAAATAGACAAAGTTTATTACAACTTTGTGTCTCTTCAATCTCTATTGTCGTTAGGTATTGTGCTAAGGGTAGGGGTTAGTAAGAAACGGAAAATCCATTGTGATTTATACATTCAAAAGATTTCACTTTATATGTGCTACTTTTGTAGTAGGTGTCTATTCAATTATTTGGAATAAAGTAATAATATTGTTCGTGAAAAATGACAGCAATAAATAAGGAACTGTTCTCAAAATAAACGTATTATTCTATATCATATTGTTTCATTTTTATTCAACAAATACAATTTTTAATGAGGTAGACTTTGGAAAATCTCTCAGTCTCACCTCTGTTAGTCGCCAAGTAGGTGGCTAAGTTTTGGTTGGTTAAGGTAAGTTAAGGAAGTGAAGTCATTTATATTGCATTTAATCATATGGAATGGCAATGCAGGACTTGTATCGCAAGCGCCACATGATAACCTAGCTAGTGGAAATCCAACAAGTATATATAAAATGTTAGCCAAAAAAGTGAATATTATAATAGATTACGCAGAGGACTTAAATGGCAGAGAGTTTTTATACTCCTAATAAAATTGGTTACGAGCCGTGTGTGTACATTATAATAATAAAAAAAAACTACTTATTTGTATTGTTGTCTGCACGCTAATTGATTGCAATGCGATTGTTAAATTGCGTTGTAGCAAACTTCGTTTATTGTTTACTAGTTGTTCCCGCAGTGAAATGTATTGCCTACCTGTCATGTCTGTCTGATGTATAAACTATTTATTATTAGATAGATACTATTGTAAAGTTTCATTAAAATCCATGCAGTAGATTTTATGCGAAAGAATAACAAACATCCATCCATCCACATGGTGAAAGTTCCATGTTTGTATTGCATATTAGTAAGATTTCAGTTCAATTATGAATATGAAAGATGAAATTAACTGTTATTCCGAATACCAGAGGTAGATTGTAATAAGTCTGTATGGGTATCTCAGTTTCCTATGACAGCCGTTTACTTTACCGTCAAACATAACTTAAAACCAGCTTGCTTTGTAAATTGGGCAATTAGGCAGTGAAATTATATTATAAGAGGCATAACATCTTATTCCTCTGGAATAGCAACGCATACGTGGTATTCAAGCATGTCACATGGTATAGTAATGTCTGTAGTGATGTTCATGTATATGCACGACTTTTGCCGCTGGCTATTAGGTGAAACGTCAGAGTACCATATATAAAATGAAATGAACGAAGTCACGGTCAGAGCTAATAGTATATTATTGAAATGTGGCTTTTCGGAATATTTGACTAGAAGCAAGTGATTAATGGTGGTAAGGCGATGCTCATCAGATGTAATCGTCTCGAGAATGCCAGTCATTTCTCGATTCCTGAAGCAAGTGGTTATCATTTATCTTTGACGTGCCATAAATTAAAATCGGCTGTAATTAATGAGGACCACACTGTTTATATTAGCATGTCTACCTAGCGTAGGTACTACTATATTTTTTTTATTGCAAAAATATTTTTTATGTTTTTTACAATTAGTATTATAAATCTACTGTATTAAAAAAAATATATGTTCCATTACTAAAATCACATAATAAAAAGAAATAATATCTGGTTACATAAGAAAACATCCTGTAAAAAAAGATAAATGTGTTATAAGTACCATTGTTCGTCTAAGAATTATAAGATGGATGGGACTTGTCATTGTATGTAGTGCTCGATTTACAAGTCCAAAGTTTTCCATGTTGTTTGATTACAGAAGATCAGTCAACGTTTGAGGACAGTCAACAAAAACTCGAGTACTATTTTTTTCGGTATATAGGCGACTGAGGCCAGTGTACATACTTATGCTTTATGACGAAGGTTGACAGGGTTTATCAGAGGAGGTTATTTAATATCATACTTCAAGTCAGTGCGTCTTTATTATTTATAAACATACACTGAATATTTTGGTTGATTGTAATAGAAATTCTCAGTTTAGTGTTAATGAAAAGCCCTTTTTACTTATCCACTGATAATAAAATTCTTCAAAATATAAAATGTGCATAGCACTTCCTAATAATTAATCAAAGGAGTTAAGTGAAGCAAGAATAACATAAGCTTCAAAAATGTAAAGCAGCATATTAAAGTGACTGAACTTAAAAGAAATTGGAAACACGAGAAGTTATATTATTCGCCTGGTTCCTGGGTACGCCGTAACATGTTCTGTAGCCAAATTAGCAAAATTACGAGCAGCTCTTCATGGCGGTTATTATTTTAACATGATTCTTGGTAATTTCTATAAAACATTATTATTATTCAAGTTTGCAAATATATCGTTTCTTTATTGATTTTCTATTGTTTTTAACAAATAATTTTATTAATTTACTGCATAACAGTTGAGAAGTTCTAGAATGATATGTAGCAAACTAGTCGTTAAGCGGCATCGTTCACATGAATTGTCATCTACTATTTCAAGATTTTTAGATAAATTTCATTAGTTAATTAGTTATAAAAAGGTAAGAAACAGACAGACTATCTTTCACATTTATAACATAATAGATATGTATGGATATGTATGGACTGATAATTTAAATAAGAAATATTATAAATATTAGTCTTAAGTATGTGAAAGTGTTTATATCAGAATACCTACTTATTATTAATGAAGTATAAAATGTAAAGTTGTTTTTCCTAATAGGGGTGCTGCACACATGTATTTTCCTCGCATTATTGAAACGCTTTCTATCTTCTGCAATCAAATCATTAAAATTCTATTGGCTGCAACATTTGAATAGTGCTTTAAAATCTCACCGAACAAAAATCGAGGAAATTAGACGGATTTTTAACTATCATTTTATGTGATTTGGGGAGGCCTTTGTTCAGCAGTGGACGTCTTTCGGGCTAAAATGATGATGACATGTGAATTTCGAATACATATTTATGTATATTTCGTTGAAAAATTACATTTAATTAACTCACAACTGGGAAGTAGAAGTCTTAATTAAATCGTCTGTGAGTTATGACCGTGTTACACAAAGTTAAATGCCTCATTATGAAGTCAGTCCGTGGCTGAACTTGTAACAAAACTGTCTGCTTTCCTAAATAAGATTTTTCACATCAGATTTAAACAAATTTACGTAATTATCATTTTAAATTAGGATTAATTGTAATTCTTGGATTTGATGCTCGTATAAAATATATCGTATTTACTAATGCAATAGGTTTATCTTTTGTGGTTAATCTCTTAAAAGGTACCTGATTTTGATACCCTAATCTTACCTTATACCTATATGAGCCTCACTCTCTATATCCGTATACAATTGTACATACACTCCAAAAAAAATTATCAATATAAAACATACAAAAAATATATGTAGAAAGTATTCGAGTAATATAAGTATAAATTATGAACACATTATACATTTCCTATTTAAGTACATTTATTTAGATTATGATATGTAAACAAAAATATAAAATTTGTTAAATGAAAAAATTTTCAGCTTTATTAATAACGTCAGTGACATTTTACTAAAATATATTTATTCGTGACTGTACATTTTATGCTAACTATTGGTAACTTTAGTTTTTATTTTCGATTTGAGAATTTTTAATATGTGACTTTTGTTAATAATTTTTAATTTGAGTTTTTATTTATGAAATTTACTTGTACATATTATACCTGTCACAGGCGATTTCCTCTACAGGCCCAAGGAAAACTAGAGTCAAGTCGATAATAAAAAATTTAACGCTACAGTGGAATTGGATTAACCTCCGTTAAAAATGTGTAGCAGAATTCAACGTAAGTGATAAATAATTCGTTTATGGGACGCAAAAAATGAAGAAAAAGAAAACGAAGTTAGTATTGGTATCGATAAAAGAGGAAATATAGCAGATAACCGAGAAAATAGTTAACTTACATAAAATTGGATTTTATTTTTTGAATCAGCACAGTAACTATAAAATTCGTAGTAGATAGAATTGTCCTTGGTTTTAAAAAGTAGATCTAGTAAATCTTGGGGTATAATTAATCAATGTGGTTTAATTAATATAATTATTCTAAATGCATGTACCTACAAATAAATAAACTAATATTCTAATTACAAAAAGTCAAAATAAGTTAC